TTCACAAAAAAAGACTTTCCTTTCCTCCATCCGGGCTCAGTCCGGATGTTGCGACCGTATGGAGACCTCCATTATTTTATTGAGCGCCGTTAAATACGGTCTCGATGATGGTTTTGATGTCTCTGCGGAAGACGGCGAAGCTAAAGGCCTGTGCAGCGGTGCGGCAGCGTTCGGTCATGGTACCTGTGGGAGCGCGGTCGAGAGTTGCCACGGCCTGGGTCATTTCGGCCTCCGAGGCGACGAGCCAGCCAGTCAGGCCGTGCTGCACGGTTTCGCGCGGGCCGCCGGAGTTGACCGCGATAACAGGCTTCCCGAAGGCCATCGCCTCCAAGGGTCCTATCCCGAAGTGTTCGTCACTGGGCGTGTAAACCAATCCGCAGCTGTGTCGCAATAACTGTCGTCTCTCCGCGTCTGTGCAATTCACCACAAATTGTATCACACCTGAACTGCCAGTTTCAGTCTCTATCGAGGTCCCAATGGAGGTTCGACCTCCTGTCCTCGCTTCAGTCTCGGTCTCGGTCGTGTCGGTCTCCGTCTTGGCTTCAGTCTCGTTGGCGAGAGACTGGAGTCTGCGGAGGTACGCCCACTCGGCAGGCGTTTGGGCGCCGCCGCAGCAGACGAGTCGGAGTCGGATGCCGGTCTGTCGGCGAGCGTGGAGTACGGCGCGGATCGCACGTTCATGGCGCTTTTTTTCTTCGAAGCGGTTCAGCGAGAGCAAGTAGGGACATCGCTTTCCGTCCCCACTGTCGGTCCCGGGTCCGCGGCTGAGTTCGGCCTCAACGTCATCCGGCACACACGGGTACAACACACGTGCGGGTACGTCTTTGCCATATACCGTATGGAACTTGGACAATGTAAAACGCGAGTTACATGCACACAAGTCTGCATGCCTCATGCCCCGACGGTTCAACCCATCCAGACACCACCGGTACGCACGCCGCAAGTTATACCCGGCTTTTCCGTGCCCCTCTAGTACCGACTTTGCTTCCGGCGACTCGGAGTAATACCCCGTAGACGAGTCCGTTATCGACGCCTTATTCACGGCCCACCCACCGCTCCCCAACAGCGCGTCCGGAAAATGACAGTAGAAGACGACCCGGCAACCAAGCCAACGCAACATGCCGTTGACAGCTGGAGACTGATCCGATACCACAACATCATACTTCCTTCTCCCATACAACCTAAAGGAGCATAGCATCACAACACCATATCTGACGCCAATCTTACGCCAGCATGAACCCATTGGTATATACGGTGTGATGTGTGGACACACGCTAACAGACGGGACGGAACAGTCATGGCAAATACAGTTGGTGGCATACATTTAGAGTGGTGGCTCACAATAGGGTCAGCAGGACGAATACCGCTAGATAGAGTGATATCAATAAGTTGACCAGGCCAGGAGCAACACGTGGAAGAGAGGTCGGCCATCTAGAAGCCAGGAGCCGGATACTCTTATGGAATTTATAAGTAGCAGCAACTGTCGTGGTAGCCACCGTCACGTTGTGTTCAGTGGCTAAGGCGTTTGCCACACACACCATCAGCCGCTCAGCCCCCCCGAGGATGCTGAAGCTGTTGTGGAGCACCAAGACATTCATTTTTTAATGAAGCAACTAGTCAACACCAAACACATTACTGAACAAGGAAGTCAGGTGTATAGGGCCATTTGCCAGATACAACAAAACTTAGAGAACACCTCGTTCCTCTCTCCAGCAGAATGCAAACAACTCTGCACCGCCCTGCTAGTCTTACTCGTTACCGGGATTTCCAAAAGGCACACGCATGCGGATCTAAAGGACCGATCGAGCCTGACAAGTCTAGGACTCACGGAAAGCATTATGCTTGTCGGCTCTAACAAATTGGATATAAGACTGAATTGTAGGTCTCCCTGTGGCCAGTTCCCTCCCTGTGGCCAGTTCCCTCCCTGTGGCCAGTTCCCTCCCTGTGGCCAATTCCCTCCCTGTGGCCAGTTCCCTCCCTCGTGGCCAGTTCCCTCCCCT